CTCAGAGGGTGCGGGTGGGGGCACGGGTGTGGGAGGAAGGCTTCCCTTAGCAGCATAGTTTGCCAGCTTGCGGGTTGCTTAAGTATTTACTGAGTTATGTATGCGAGTATTTATTGGCTTAGAGCTTGGACGCAGCTCAAGTGCAGCAAGAACAACTGAGAACGCCTGATGGCAGACTCTGAGCTCTGCGCACTACAAGTTCCTTAACAACCCGAAGCTAAGGCGCAAATTGAGAAAACTTGAACATGCTTGGGGCAATGCATTCCTCTCGCATCGACCAGCTTCAGTTGCCTTCCCTTTGAATTGGGCTGACAGAGTTCTGGAAATTCCGTTCGAATTGTTGGTTGTGCAACTGCCTTAAATTCCTCGTCAACACTGTAAACTTCTCCTATAGAATGAATCTTTCTACAAAGTTGAAGTCACGTATTATTAAAGAACCTTTGCAATCGGATCATGCGAGCATTACTGGTAAAGTCTGGCCCTCTCTCCAATTTCAATAGCGATAGGACAACCAAACAAACGGACGAACGGGACACGTACTTGAGTAAATGGACGCAGCTCGTCATCCTGATCCAGTATACAGATACAGTAGAATCCCGCTATAACGACTCCTCTTATAGCGCCCGTACGGTTATTGCGACGAAAATTCTAGCCCCCAGAGAAACTAATATGGTTATAGCGTCTTCAGGGTATAACGACGGTCCCATTATGTGGTCTGTCACCCCTCCTTCTGCCTTTTATACACAGACTTTCACAAAGCCCTTATACCCTGTCTGCCATTTCGTATGGGTCTAGGCTAAAACAAAGACACAAAAAATAAAATGCATCGTAGTAGGCTGGGGTTTTCGGTTTTGGTTGGGATAGGGGCCTTTTTTGGAAATGTATGTATATTCAAGCACAACAGACACAAGTAAACACGTGTAGCTGACATTTTACAAAATCTACTTTTTTATTGGCATTCGTGGTACTCTCAATAGTTGGAAAACGAATCGATTTTTCGATGGAACTTGTTGAGATCGCCAAGTCGTCGGGCGGCAGCTCGAGTGCCAGCAGCAGCAAGAAGGAACATGATGCGGCCTTTCGCAAGTTGCGCCAGCTGATCTGCAAGCTACCGATGTCCGATCAGGTGGTGCTCTACCGCGACCACCAGGAGGTGCAGCATGTCTGCGACAGCGTCTGGCGCAGCGCACACAAGCGCTTGGACTTCCGACAGCTGGAGCAGGAGCTGACCGGCGAGCCGTTGAGCTACTTCCTCAACAAAATGATGGATCACTTTCGATATGTGTACTTCACAGCCGATCGCCTTCAGGACAATCTTAACGTGTTGGAGCGAGCCGGTGTCAAGTCGCTGAACAGTGTGCAGCACTGCGAGCTGCTGCTCAGCCATGATGCGGTGCCCAAGGCAAAGACCAGGCGACCACGAGAAGCGGGTGCCGGCGATGCCGGTCTCGGGCGTGTCGTCGGCATTGCTGCGGTCCTCGGCGGCTCGATGATGCCACAATGGCCACTGCATGCCTTGCCCAAAATGCTGCGCAACCTGCGCCGCCTCAAGGTGTACTGCGAGGTGCAGGTGCATTTCATAGAGCAGTTCACGCAGCTGGAGCTGCTGGTACTCCATGGCGATGTGGCCCAGTCGGCCCTCACGGGCATTTTAGAGCGCTGCAAGCAGCTGAAGCGGCTGTTCATAAAGTGCAAGAATCCACCACCCTCTCTGCAGGGCATCACCTCCTGCCACCGCCTGCAGGACATCTCGCTGCCCATGCTGCTGTTCCTAGAATCACGCGAGCAGGTCTTGGCACTGCCCACACTGCACTTGCTGGAGCTGACCTATGCCGGGCAGAAGGCCGAGATGGCCATTGAGTGCTTGCGGCACGTGATGGACGCCAAGGCCGACACCGTTGAGATTGTCCAAATGAACTGTGCGACCTTCGAGGGAACGTACTGGCTGCGGGATACGGGCCTGGGCAGCTGCACCCACCTGCAGGGACTCGTGCTGAACAATTGCCGTTTCTACGATCGCGAGATCCTGGAGTTGAACATGCCACGAGTGGAGAACTATTTGGTGTTGAGTGGCTGTCCAGACCTCAAGGAGTACCAGCTGCTCGATGTGATCAAGAAGTGTCCGAAACTCTCGGAGCTCTACCTAATCGACTGTCCACTGCTCACCGGCAAGGTGCTGAACGGCATCTACCGCATACGCAGCAGCGAGAAACTTGACTATCCGATTAGCATTATCCTCAGCCGCTGCGACTCTATAAGCCAAGACTATCAGGATTCGGTGGGTAGAGAAGAGAAACGATGCATATCGCGTTATATGCATATACATTTATGTGTGTCTAATCTTCACCTGTATATCCTAACCCATTTCTCGATCTCAGTACGCAGACTATTGGTACTTCAAGCTGCAAGTGCTGAAGCTGGATCGCCTGCTTGAGGAGAATCGACCAATCGAAGATATGCAGATATTCTTTTACAAGAGCCCGGGCACTGCATGAATGACAACACAAATATCCTTAATGGGACCCCAATTCTAGTTGAAGTGATCCCCAAAAATATTCTAAAGCCTACGAAAAAAAATTATTGGAGAAAGTTGATCTGAACAGTTCATTCGTCTGGATTATTACTGTTAACGGTTGCTAATGACAGTTAGTCTTTGAAGTGTACTGATTTTCTGTTCACGTAAAGTACTTTAAAGTAAAGTATACCAAAAAAATACAACTTACATATGGTTTGTCGTACTCTATTAGCCGACTCGCGGCCAGAACCAGCCCAACCCAACATAGATTCCACTTCAATGTCAAGTAATTGTGTTTTTCTGTTTTTGTTATATTTACACTATTTACATATATCTCTTACTTCGCGTGTTTCCCCAGCAAGACAAACGATAACAATAACAATTAACTCATTTTATTTCATACGCTTCTGCCACTTGGTTTTTGCATTTCCCAGACAGATCTCTACATTTGTGGCTAGGCGGCAGGTCTGGGTGGGTGTACTGCTCTTGTGGGTATGTGACTTGACATTTCACTTAAATAACAAACAACTCCCTTTTACTGCAAGCAAATCGAAAGTGTCGGGCCTCGGAACGCGGGCCTGAGAGCAAAGCGAAATTTATGTCGACGGATTTCACTTGGGCAAGACTAAAAGGGCCAGACCAACAAAAGGAACATCACCAGCTATGATGAACTGAATTAGCAATAGGGTTACGACTATCCAAAGGCCTTTTAGGGCTATAAAGCTGTTCGATTTTAGAGAAGCTCTTTAATGCAATTCCCGATCAAATGGAAGTTAGTTGAAGCTTTAACTTAACTTACTAAATATCTGTTATATTTTAGCTGTAAGTTCTTCTTCTCTTAAGTTTACTTTTTTCTAGTATTTTATTTTCTTGAATACTAGAAATGAGAAGAGTTATACAAACATCTAAGTATATACATATGTAGCCATATGATAATATGGTGTTGGGATAACACCAAAAATATTCTGACTTGCATATGAAATAACGGGTTTTAATGATCATTTCTTTTACTGAGGTATCACAATGTGAATCGGTAGCTATCTCATGTAGATCCAAATTATGATTTATGAGAGTGTTCAAGGGATAACAGTTAAGTTTTAGGAAAGTAAGAATGCTAAAAGTATTCCTATTAGAGTCAGTTAGGATTCTCACAATAAGTGACCCAAGGATTTCAGACAAATCAATCAGCTCGGATCTTCATTTCAAGAATATTTACATTTTAAGCACAGTTTTTCTTAAACTCTCTAAAACTAAAACTAACATTAATAATACTTATAATATCAATATACCAATAATAAGACATTTACAATTTTCTATTTACAATCTTTAGCTCTTATATACAAGTTAATATAGACCTATATTGATAGCTGTCATCCCATCCAAGAATATGCAAATATACATATATTTCATGGAAATAAAGTAGCTTCATCTCTTTGCTTTGGTCATAATAGAAGCAAAAACTAATTTCAACGGCTATAAAGAGCGACATTGTTGATGAGACGGGGCTTTGATATATTGAACTACCTCAGCGAAGTCTCCCATTTTTGGTCGATTCTATTTCTGTGGCAGCTATAAATACAGCAAGACGCCCGCTTCGGCTCAGCAGTTACCTGAATTTGGCAATGACATCGCTTGGGTTTTCTTTGTATTTGCTTTTGGCCAAGTATTCGCCGGCCGTGGAGACCAATCAAATTGTCTGTGCCGTTGGCCAAGGCATTGTATTCGCAGTATTTGGTAATATTAGAAAACGAAACTTTTGGTGCCGAACAAATGACACTGAGTTGTACTTCTTTGTACTTCTTTCACTTTTTTTGGCTTTGTGTTGGCATTTTCTTTGTTGACGAATTGCGAAAGTGAAATTGAATGGGAAGTGATGAAACGGACGCTTCAATTGAAGGAACCAAATGGTATTCAATAAAATATATAAGGAATTCCGTTAAGGTGTCTATTTCCTATCACTTTTGACAAAAATTAATTGAATAGAAAGCTCATGAAACTCTTCCAATACCCTTCAGAGGCTATTGAAAATGGGAATGCAAATGGGAATATTGGTTTAATAAAAATGTTACAGACTGGGAGTAGCATGACATGTCAATATTACTATATATGTATTTATTCTCAGTCTATATAATCAAGGCCCGTCCGACTGTCTGTCTTTCCGCCCGTGCGCCTATTCGTGTGAACGCAAGGAACTCGTAATCTTAAATATAAATATTTCTATATACTACAGCAGTAAGAATTCATTTCCTTTTCGATAAATCATCATTATCGATAAAAATCGATCATTTGACTTGTTATTTTTAAGAGTAGTTGGAAAAGAAATAAGTCAACTTTACACACATCCCTTCTTTACATCGAATACGAAGAAGAAAAACTTAAGGTACTACTACGAAAATTTGCCTCGGCAAATACATATATAACTAAATATCACATCTAGTATGAGAAAAGTAAAAAAATAATGAAGAGTTCAGAGTATGTTCTAGATGGAAATTCCCGGCTGGAGCACTTTTATTTGTTCGTGCTTTCAGCTTGAATTTGGGGTTTCGCATTTTTATTAAATTTAACTCAGAAACAAATACAATTAGGGAAACGAAAAAATATTGAACTATATAGAACGGATATGAGTATCATGTTCCCTTGATGATCATCTTCTTGCCGGACTACTACGTAATTAATTTTTAGTTGGCTGATCGCCCTGTATCTTCAATTTACCCCAATCCTCAAGGCCCATAGCCTTGTAATTGCCGTTCTTATCAAGAGCCATGATTGTGGAGCCCACGATGACATTGCTAGTGGATCGTTGTATCTTGCTGGCGACAGTCGGGGCAGCGCACTGTAACTGCGGGGCGCACTGCATCAGCGGAATGCGCTGCACGACCGGAGCACGCTGCACCTGCGGGAAGCGCTGCACCTGCGGGACGCGTTGCTCCTGTGGGACGCATTGCTCCTGCGGAACGTATTGCTCCTGCGGGACGTATTGCTCCTGTGGGACGTGTTGCTCTTGTGGAACGAACGGCATCTGGGAAACGAATGGCATCTGGGGGACGCATGGCACCTGGGGGCCGCGGTGCTTACGGCTGGACATTCCCTTGGGGTAGCCGTATATCGGCGGCTCGACGTAGTGGAATCTCATGGTGCCGCAGGGCGGTGCCTCCGGCGTCGACAGCAAACCATTTCCGGCCTTTTGCAAGCGAGCGTGCTCCTTATACAAATCTTTAACGATGGGCATCAGGGCATCTGTCAGCGGTACGTCCTCCTGCATGATGGCGGCCTGGATGCGCAGCTGCTGCTCTGTGGTTAGCATATATGTGGGCGATATTTCGGCATCCAAAACCACGCGGCCGGGAGCGTCCGACTTGCGCTCATCGACTTCCAGGTGCATCAAGCTGAAGCTTTGGAAGCAGGAGTTCATAGTGCTACGCTGGAGTGGGGCTGCCTGCGAGGTGCCCAGTGGCAGCACCTCAATGGTCTCGATTTTCTGTGTGTTGATGTTGTTATTCTTGTCCTTTGGTATGACTTGAATGGAAGTGCTGGGTCCCCTGCCACGAGCGGACTGCTGGCTCTCTGGACGCCTAAAGAAGTCCATGGCATTTATCAGGGACGGCATGTCCGGCGTGCTGTGCTTAATGCCCGGCGGTAGGCTCACCGGCAGATTCATGGTGAGGTGCGTCACCCCCGGTATGGCACGCAAGTCGAGCGGCGGCTCCGCTGGCTGGGGCACCACCGGTCCAGTGTACATCATCTCGATTGTGGTGCCGCGATTGTGCACTCGATTGCTGAGCGTGCACCACTGGTTCGGAGTGCCCGGCAAGGGGCCCTTGGAGGGGGAGGATTAGGAGACAGTGTTATGGGCCGGCGCTATTAGAWGCTGCTGCTGCTTACCTGGCGCTGTTCATTGGTTTCACTCTTAACATTGTGTTGCTGGTACTGTTGCTGTTGCTGTTGCGGCGACTGTTGCTGTTGTTGATTCTGCTGATTCTGCTGCGGCTGCTGTTGATTATTGTGTTGCTTAGGCAGTTCCTGCACTGGGTTCTGCATCTGCATCTTCAGCGGCTGCTGCTCTATCTGCACCTGCTCCTGCTGCTTCATCGGCTGTAGCTGCTCCTGTAGCTGCTCCTGTGGCTGTTCGTTCGGCTGGTCCTGCGTCTGCTCCTGCTGCAACTGCTCCTGCATGACTTTCGACATTGGCTTGGGCTCAAATATTTTTGGGGATTCGCCGTAACCGCGCGGAGTCTCAAGTAGCGGAGGCCGAGAAGTTGTCACGTTCTTGTCAATTTTGCCAAATTCCCGATCTACCGTTATATTCTGTTGGGCTGCGCTGCCAGCCTTGTCGTCGCTGGCCCCATTTGGTTCCGCTGCGCCCTTGTCGGCGTTCAACATGTTTGCTTCACTTTTTATCAATTTTCAATTTTACAAAATAAGTTTTCAGCTGCAATCAGTCAGAGCTGTCAACACACACACCCAACAATCAGGAAAAAATGTTTGACAGCTCCAGTGTAACATGAAGCAGCTTAACATGAAGCAGCAGAAGAAGAAACTGACATTTGCCTATGTTAACATTCTTAGCCAACTAGAGACGAGTACAGGTAAATCGTTTTCAGCCAAAATATTTGAGACATTCCTATAAATACTTTCTACATACAATATACATATTTATATAAACTTATATAATACAAAGTGACAATTACGAGGTAGAAATTAACTTGCCAAATAGTTAAATAATAAATCAATTAACTATTAACTTATCCATGAAGAGGCAAGTGCGTCTAAGGGCGGTGATTCTTACGTTGGTATTGGGCAGCAAAAGAGATTTAGTCAGTAATATTATTATTTGTCCGGTCAGAGACTCGATTCATCTCTCACTTCTTAAAGGGCATTTGCTATTCGCTCACAGCGGATGGCGCGGGGTGTTGATTGTCTGACTGCTATTTCCGAAACTGTGAGAATCTGCATATTTGCAACTTTTATGCAATTGCAGTCGACTACTTTTTTAATTTTTTTGCTGTGTCAGCCAACAATGGCAGAGGTCTGAATAGGCGTCGACTCATTTCGCAATACAACGCAATGGAAGCGTGTGTGTCTGTGTATATGTGTGTGTTTGCATTTTCAGTAACGTCTTTTCCTACTGTTATTGTTTTGGTTATGATTGTGGGGCTGGCCATTGTATGGCGTCTGAAGACTTGCAAACTTGCGGATGTGCCACACCTCCAGCACATTCGTGGCATGCATATGTATACCTATGTATGTGTGTGTGTCAGTTTACTTACAGTTCGACTCCTGCGGGGCCTGAGTACTTGATTGCTGCTGCTGCCGCTGCTGCTGCTGCTGCTGCTGCTTTGCTCCGAATTGATCTTCCGTTTCAATCTTCAACTGAAATGGCACAAAATGCGGTCTACATAAGTACAACTCTTTGTAATCAGCAATGTTTGGGTTATAAAACTGTTTTGATCTCCGCTCTGATGTTGACTTGGACACACTCGGCTAAGCCGGCACTCGACTGGAGCAGCATGGCTTGCGGCTGAGTCTGAGGCTCAGTTTCCCCAATACGAAGTAATTAAATGTATTTTAATAGTTTTTGAGTAATTCTGAACTAGTGCGTGGCGCACTCGAGTTTATCATCGCCAAGCGCCCAAACCAAGAAACAAACAATTATTAAGGAAAAAAAAAAAGTGTAAACCCCATTTCTCACTGCAATGCAAAGCCAAGCGAATAACGCATAGCGCGTCGTATACTTAATTATGCATACTCCGCATTGACGGCCATAAAGTGCAGAGCGATGATGGACACAGCTGCATTAGATATAGCTCACACTTATTTATATAGACCAAAGTTGGAAAAGCGTTGCAAAAGAAAGCTGATCTCAAGAGTCGTATGAGCTCATTTAGGTCGTTCTTTACTCAGGTATATCCAGCCCAATATCTTACTCATGCTACAGTGGCCAGAAATAAAAGTCATATGGAGTCATAGAGAGCCCCACCAAACTGAATGGCTGATGCAGAGAGCATACTAGGCCTAAACTAATCTAGCAAATATCTCACACAAATTTAGGAACTCTATTCCATTCTTAAGGTGTCGGAATCAGAAATCGCCTTGACACACTTTAACAACCAAATGACAAAGTGCTCTCCAGTATCTGCCTATCCGGAGTCCTCCTTCTCGGCCTTGAAGCCCACTTAAGCTGACTGAAACAGGCGATGCCCCTTGAAATCTTGCAGGACGGTCGGTGAATGGCTGCAATACAACTCTTCATACTCATGCACGAAAGTAAAATGGGTATATGGGTTGCTTGCAATGTCCATCAAGCTGTCCGTCCATTCATATCCGTATGAATACAAACTACTTCGATGTCCACTGGGAATCATACCTCATCAGATTAGAAAATACATTTTCGGCACTTCAAAGATCAAAAAAATATGGTAGGGCTTCGGGCAAATCAGAAAAAAATTATTCTTCTATTGCTTTATAATTACTACAGACCTGCTCCATTGATTTGCCAATAATTATACCAATTGGGGGCGTGGCAAATCTTAAATGATGTAATCATGAATGAGTGTATTGCAGTCGGTACAGCTCGACTGTAATGCTCTTGCTTGTTTTGAGTTTCAATTATCGAATAAAACACCCCATCATAATAAAGTAATAAACAAGACAAATCTAGGAATCTGATTACGTAAGACCCGCTCCAAGCCATACTGATGTCAATATTAAACAGATGATAAATCTTTTATAGAGGGATATGTAGACAGATATTCTAGCCATCCATATATTCTACTTGATTTTTAATCTGAATAAGGCAAACAGCTTAAGCAACAGTTACCAGGCGCTACTTATATCTAATCTAATATCTGATTCATATTCGTGCAATTTAAATGCAAACGCTTAACTGGTTTACGTTTATGGACATAATTGGATTTACATGCCAAGCGCTTTGAGCTGCTGCTGGTAGCCAAGTGTATTTTAGCTAAAATTAAACCGCCATTTGGGCGGGTGTGCATCAGCGGAGAGTTTAAGTCTGAAACGCAATTCCCAAATGGGTTGGGCAGCAATAATGCTACGGTGAGAACACGACTTTGCCGCGCCCCAAACAAAACGTAAACCGACTCAAAATAAATACATGTATATGTATCCATGTGCATGTGTGTGTGTGTGCGTGTATTTAAGTGTGTTTAAACACATCTTATTCACATGTATGACAAAGGCCGGACGACTTTTTTGGGCAGCTCAATCGTTGGGAAAGTAAAACACGCACACACACACATCGGTCGCTCAGGTTGTCCAAATTCGGATGCGATTCTATCAAACAGCGCCACAACATGCAAATCTAATTTCCGTACAGTGTCAGGCAGAAGTCAACGCACGACAAAACAGTTAAGTGACTCGTAATTGAATTTGCATAATTTAGATACAATATTTTAGACCTATAGATGGTATTAGTCTTTTTAAATATTTACATAATGAATACGTAAGTTCAGAATATTTGTTAATTTCAGTGAATTTTTTTTACGACTTGCAGTTAAATTTAGTATAATTTCAATAATTTGGATATATCTAAAATATTATTTCAAAAACCACAGATATTTAGCATATATTCTAAAAGGTAACTTTTGTCTAACAATGACTCATTAAATATGTAAAAATATATACCTTTGTAATAACTATACATAACGTATTTTTAAAAGCTCTAAAACAGCATATATAGATAGATGTATAGCTACAGTTAGCTTGTCTATACAGATTTGGCTTGGATTATAAATATTTAAATAAATATGAATGCATATAGATAGGTATGTAGGTATATAGCAGCAATGAGTCAAAAGACCTTATGCCGCTGCAGTGTGCAGACTTTTGCCCGCAACTGTAGCTTTCAGCTACACACTCATGAATGCAGAGAAGCCTATCTGTGTTCGTGTTGCGTGCTTAGAATTAATAGATGGAATACACCCGCAACGTCAGCGCCGCCATTCAATGGGGTCGCCTAATTGACGGTCCGCTGATTAAACCGACTGGCTGACACACTTTTGCAATGCGGCATTGATAAGCCGATATCAGGTAAGCCGAAGCCAGAGGAGGTGGAGGTGGAGGTGCGGAAGCAGGTGAAAAAGTGGCATGCTGAGCGCACGTTCGCAGCGGCTTGTGGCAGCACTTAGTGGCAAGAGACTGTTAAGAGAGAGACTGCTTAAGAGACTCGTTAAACGCCCAAACATCAGTCAGGTTGAACGCCGCCAAATGGAGTCATTAAGGCTACTCAAATGTCATTACCACTTAATTGTTTTGTATCGTTCGTGGCTGGCGAGTGATTTGCAGAGTTTGCGTTCATTCAACTTCCACCAGCAGCAGCAGCAGCAGCAACAACAACGACAATAACAATTCAGCTGATTGTTTACCATCGGCATAGGCCGCACGCTAATGAAGCCTGCGCATCCGAATTGCCAATATCCGAACAGGCAACCAGGCAAATTCCAATGCACAAACACAAAAAGCTCGAGCCCAACAGCACGAAACGCAAATTGTTAAATAAGCATGTGCAAATGGCAATGATGATGACGATGATGATGATTGTGATGATGTTGATGGTGACGAGTTGGACTGGGACAACAAAAACGACATCGCCGACGACTTCCACATTTGCCAAACATTTTAATAACACTAATTAAGTGCTTAAGCCCAGGCAACGGCAATAAATTATGCAATGCGCTTGCAAATCCAACAGAAAACAAAAAAACAAAACAGAAAAAAACACACGCCCAACCCTAGCCCAGTTAGAATGATGCCCGTCAAATATGCACGATTATGAAATGCCTATGCCCTCGGGGCATTTACAAATGTACGTGCTACTGGACGTGTAACAGTGTTGCATAACAGTGTTGCATAATGTCAGTGCGAATGCATTTTCAAGAGAATTCGCTTACGCATTGACACTGTTATTCATTAAAACCATGAACCCGCCATTACACATATGTTAAACAACATCGTTGGCAACACTGAAATTTGTACAGAAAATGAACTAAATATTTGGTGGCACTATTTCATTTATGAAACTATAATTACAATTGCAATGTCTGTTAAACAACACTGACAGTGTTTTTTTTTTTTTTTTTTTTTTGCAATAAATAATGAGCTGAAAATTAACTCAAAACTCCAATGCTCAACCATACCAAAACTCAAGTTTGTTTTTAATAAAAATTATTGCAAATGGTATAACACTGTGTGTGAACACACTACTCAACACTTAAATGCGCAAACACGCTTGGTAAACATTGCGACTTCAGCTGAAATAAATATTACAAGAATTTTGTAAGACTGATCAATTATTATTTATATTTTAATGTAATTCATATTCAAACATATAATATAATAATACATATTCAAACACTCATATTGTCATAGACTCACACATTCATATAGATTCATATAGATATGTATACATACAATCACACATACATACAAACATATATTCACATATTCAAGAATTTGG